ATTTGATTGTTTGCATATCCATCTTGTATATACAGAAAGAAAATTTGACTGAAGGAGTAAGACCTAAAGAAGGCAAGTTTCATACTTGCTCTGTTTATGATGTGTTGAACTTGTTGGATAGGATACAATTGTGGTTACACCGGGGGGACAACTAACGCTCTGAAGTGGCTACTCTCGCGGACTTAAAAAAGGGTTAATTTTTATTATGTTTTTGGTCTCTTATTTTAATTATTCTGTTTTGCAGCCCCAGGTTGAACGTAGCACTAGTAGCGAGGGTAGTAACAGTACTGATGATAAGAGAGACAACAGTAAATTTTGACAAGGCCACCATGCAAATCCTTTTGAGTTTGTTTTTTTTTCATGCTGTAGATTTTATCTCTGAACTCATGTAAATCTGATTCATCCGGGCAACTGGATTAGTAATGCTTTCCAATTATAGTCAAACAAATTTTTTATGTTTTTAATCATCCACAACTTAATTCTATACTTTGTTAACTATTATCTAATACACATCACAACTCAATCCTAAACTTCATTAACTAATAAACATCCTAAACAGCTGGTATTTTAAAGACATCCCAAAACTCAATTACAGACTACAACTCATAACTTATTTTATATACTTAGTTCAAAATATAGTAATATGGACGCATTCTCCCATTTACCGAGGTAGTTTTTTAGCTCCAGTAATCTGCATTAAAAAACTTACATCTTGAAATGGGTATAAAGTGGCAGAGAAGAGGTAAAGGCTGTTAAACCCTTACTGTTATACTGGTCGGATTGTTCTTGCTCTTCAGCACCGATGGGAAAAATCTTCTCCAAAAAACCGTCCATGGAAGTCACTCCTCCTGGAAGAACAATCGCAAGCATTTGGCGTCAGTTTCATGGATCGATCGACAAATCTAGGTTGGCCTAAGAGTGGTACTTTCTCCGGGAAAGTAATAATGTTGACGGTGAGGATATCATCACCGCATTCAAAGAGTGTTTTCACACAAAAAAGAGACCCA